AAAAAAAAAAAAAAAAAAAAAAAAAAAAAAAAACCCTTCAATCTTCTCGTTCCGTGCCTCATTGCATTGACTGTTCACTTGAGTTTCAATTCATGACAACTTCATGTCAATTACATCTTTTAAGTTATAAATTTTATCAAAGTGCGATGGAATCCAGAGTTCAACCTCCTTGTTTAGCATGTGATTACCTTGAATCTTCATTTCAGTTTTGATTTACGACCTGTCAATTGCGTTCTTTGCGTTCACTACTTATATCCTAAGTTTCATTCAAGTCTAAAATATAGCGATTTCAACCTGAAATTAATAGCAAGCGAGTACCTGTTTAAAATATAATGTCTTATTTTAACGAATAACATGTTGAGTGTGATTGACAGGGTGTGAGAGTGACCCCAGAATTGAGTGCAACTACTGGAGGACGGGCCGAACCGGGGTCTAGACGCGGAGAAGGGGAAGGGGGGTGAAGGACAAAGGAAGGCATGGTGATTATTAAAGAAGAGGGAAGCAGCAACAATTAGTTAGAAAGGTGGAGAATATGATGATGTACAAGGGGGCGATGAGGCAGCATGCGAAAGACCGGTTAGGGGGGAAAAAAAACCTCCATGACCGAGAGAGGAGGAGTGCACAGACACAGGAGTGGAAAAGGATGGAGCAGGAGAGGGCCGGGGAACGAGCTTGGTCATGAGAGTAGGCAGGCCTCCCTAACCAAGTGTTAAAGGGGAACCTGGGAAGATAGGGTGGGAAAACTTTTTGTAGAGGAATCTATCTCAGTCAAGTGGCAGGAGGGTGAGATCGGTGAGGAATGGAAGGTTCAGTCGGGAAGTCTGACGACAACGTTTTTCCTTTCCCCCCTTCTCTTCCCCTTGGAACATAATATTCTACACTAGAGGGGCAAGTCCACTATAGTCAAAGGGCTCCTGAAAGACAACGTAAAGGAAAGGGACCCACTCTACACCCATTATGCAAGTAATTGGGTTTTCCACGACGACGCAACATGTAAAGCAACAAATGACAAGGTCAGATGGATTAGGGACCGATTGGCCTCCTTCAAGGGAACCCTTGACAACCACATGAGCTCTTTCTAATCCAACTGGTCTCGTCATCCATCTTTACAATAATCTGCATGTTTACAGATAAGAGGTTGATGGATGGATGGAAAGCAATTCAGTGTGATAGTTCAAAAGCGAGACAACAAAGACCGGAGGAGCGGCAAGGTGAGATGATGAAGGAATTCTTTTGGTTAAAATGCCATCATATCCTGATCAACGCATAAGGCGCCTTCGTTCAGGATTTTGCAGAGAGGTGCAATGCCATTGAATTATTGACCCCCTTCCCCCACATGCGGGTAGGCGGGACGACTAGCTCAAGCTGGCCATCAACCTCGCTAACGGGCAAATCTTCACAATTGTTACGATCCTGGCCAATTTCAAAGTATTCATTCATCTGAAAGTACAATTCCATCCAATTGCAAAAAGAAATGAATGAACTTGAGAGGAGAGAGAGGGAAAGAAGAAGAAGAAGAAGAAATAAGAAAGAAGAAGAAGATGATGCACTCCACCATAGACCAATGACAAGGCTCTTCGTCTACGCCAACCAATCTCTTCCTCCTTATCTCCTCCCCTCTTATTCAAACAAGAAATAACAATAATAATGTTGAATGACTGAACCAGAATCAATGTCCGAATCCCACTTCTACTACAGACACAACATGAGGTCCACCATAGCCATGGCCACCCTTCCTCTTCCTCTACATATAGGTCGAGGCTATGGCAGACTACTGAGGCTCCAACCTCCTGTCCAAAGGACAACCCAAAGCAGCTATGTCGCTGCCCCACTTCAAGGTCATCACCATGCAGCTATGTCGCTGCCCACTCAACCGCCATGCCTGACTCTGCCCCGATCTTCCTTGATGCGGCACTACCCCCACTGGGGCCTTCCAGATGCATCGCCTAACAAGGTGATGAAGATGGTGTCTGCCATAGCCAGGTAAGTACCCCACCACTCTCCTCCTTGGTCCCCTTCTCCCTCCTCCTCCTACCGGTAAATCTCCACCATAGCCAAGGTGGAAACTCCCGGCTTCTTGCTGCCAGCAGCGCTGTAGTACCCAGCGCTACTCCAGCCAGCGCTCCAGCAGCGTGTCGCCAAACTTGCACACTGAAGAATGAGGCCGAGCTCTTGCCTCGGCCTCTTGATATAGCGGCCTGCTTGCCTCCTGGGCGGTGACTTCCAGGCCGCTCGGCCTCCCAAGCAATCGGTACCTCCTCCTTTTCCGAAGGGAAACATCATTGCAGACTCTGATATTGCCCGCACAGGCTCTAGACTCAGACCGGATGGACTGGTACCGGCCTAGACCTAGCTTACTGCTACCGGGCCTCTAAAAATACCAACTTTGTCTTCTTTTGCTCGGCCTCGAGTACCCGACACATCTACTACTACTCGCTGCGGTACCGACCTACCTGCTACTTGAGTGTTTTTCCGCTGCTCCAGGTGCCGTGGGCCCTTGCCTCCGCTACTCGAGTGTTTTCCCTTGCTGCCACCCTCAATGCCACGGCCACAGGTAAGTACCGGCCCTACGGGCTTGCCAAACAAGCAAGTACCCTTACGGGTCACACACACACTCATGCCGACAAGCACTCAGACAGGCACGCAAGTCAACAGGCATGCACACATACAGACTTAGAAAACACAGCAGAATGCGGGAATATTGGCAAGGCATCCATTCCATCGGCAGAACTTCAGAAATCAGCAGTGTTCTCAGTCTGTGTTATGGCGAGTCATTACACTACAGCAGTGTTCTCAGTCTATGTTATGGTGGGTCATTACACTACCCCCCCCTCAAGAGCGAGGTCCCTTCGAGCGAGTAACTCAATCAGAGTCCTTGCATAGTGCATCATAAGCATAAATAGCAAAGAGAGACAGGGTATGTTCCGTAGGAGTGAGGGTAGCAGTGAATTTAGGTTGTTGTTAAGAACTAATCAGTCGTTCATATGCGTTGACTACTCGCGGGGCACTCTGCAGCAAGTCTTTCTTAGCGATCCAATAGAAGTCATTCAACGGGTGGTACAAAAAATGGACTTTGTATTGTCTGTTTCTTCCCTTCCCACTGTGCTCAACAATTCTATCAACCTCGTGACCGCCATTGATTGCGCGAGGAATCATTGATTCTCGATACAGAAAAATTTCAGGTGGTTCATACGGAAACAACTTTGATGTGTGAAAGACTGGATTTGTGCACAGATGAGCAGGCACATCGATCGTGTAGGAAGGAGCAAAGGAATCATTGCCTACTCGGTTCAGCACCTTCCAGGGGCCGTAGTACTGAGGAAGAAGCTTTCGTGATACGCCTTCTTCTTTAGAAAACTCAGACATCTTGACCCCAACATAGCTTCCCACTGTGAAAGGATCAGGCTGACGCTTTTTGTTTGCATGTTTAATCATGGCACTGCGTCGCTTCTCCATAGCTGCGACAACAACTTTGAGCAAACGATCATATTTGGCGTTGTAGCCTGGCTGGCCAGGTGTTAGGCCAGGCGACTGTTTAGGGGACAGATAAGATAGAGGATTGCAGATTTTTCATCCAAGATGCAGCCGGTTAGGCGTCATCCCGGTGGAGAAGTGGATGAAATTGTTGTACAACCCTTGCACGATCGACAATTCCTCATCCCAAGAGTTCTGATCAGGGACAATTAAGGCCCGGAGAAGTTGGATCACAGCCTGGTTGATTTCCTCGGCTAGTCCATTGGCTTTAGGATGTCGGCCAGATGTCATCTTGAGTTTCATGTCATAGACCTGGGAGGTGAAGTCCTTCCATAGTGTCCTGGTCACTCAAAAGAGTTTTCGGGGGCCCACACTGCAGAATGTACCGTTTGTGGAATTCTTTGATCACAAGATCAGTTGGGGCATGAGGTGGTAATGGGATCAGATTCAGAAACTTTGAGAAGCGGTCAACGATCACCATCATTTGCGAATATCCATTCTTACTCTTCTTTCCCATGTCCATGAAGTCACGGGAAAGCGACTCACCCGGGCCATCAGGAACAGGAAGAGGGTGTAGCAGCCCATAGGGTTTCAACCGAGACGGTTTGATGCGTTGACAGACTTCACACTCAGCTACAAACTTTTGTGCCATTCCTTTCATTCCAGGCCATACAAACTTTTGCAGCACACTTCCATACGTCTTCTCAAAACCGAAATGTCCACTCCGTCCATGAGCCAAGTCCAAGAAGTGAGTAAGGATCGGCTCATGGTTGGGTACACCCAATCGGTCGTGCTTCCTGTAGCGTCGGAAATGTAAACCCTTACATTCATGAAAATCAGGCTGACTGCTAGGGTCAGCCCGAATCTGCTCAAGGATGGGACTGAGTTCCGGGTCCTTGGCAGTATGCTCAATGAGTTCCTCCTTTAAATTCTTACGGAGATCATAGGAACCCACAAGGCAAGTCATGTACTCAAGATGGCGAAACAAAGCATCCGCAACGCGATTCAGCCTTTCTTGTGCTTAAGTTCAAAATCATACACATCAATCTCATGCAGCCACCGGGTCAATGTGGTTGATGGATTAATGTGTGTCTGAATCCATTTCAAAGTCTCGTGATCTGAGAACACTTTGAAATGACGACCCAAGAGGTAGTGTTTCCAATGATCTAGTGCCTCTCTCAAAGCATAGAGCTCTCGCATGTAAGTGGAAGCAGCTACCTTGTGACTGGGCATGCGCTTGCTGTAATATTCAAGCGGACGTAAACCATCGCTGTCATCTTGCTGCAGCACTGCGCCAATCCCATACAAGCTTGCATCCGTAGTTACTACGAATGTAAGTTTGGGATCTACAATGCGGAGCACCGGATGACTCACCAAAGCCTCCTTCAACTCTTGGAAGGCTGTTGTGCATTCCCCATCCCATGTATAAGACACATTCTTACTTGTCAATTTGGACAGCGGACGGGCGATGATAGAGAATTTGGGTACAAACTTACGGTAGTAYGACGCAAGACCAAGAAAAGAACGCAACTCGCGGACATTGGCCGGTTGGGGCCAATTGCGAATGACCTCAACTTTGGTTGCTTTGGGCTCTAGGCCTGTAGCAGACAACCGATGTCCAAGGTAGATGACGCTGTCCCTCCCAAACTCATATTTCTCCAAGTTGAGATGGAGTTGCACATCCTTGAGGATCTGCAACACTTCCTCAAGGTGTCTCACATATTCCTCCATCGATTTGCTGAAGATTAGTATGTCATCCAGATAAACAACAACAAACCGATTAATCTGATTGCGGAATACCTTGTCCATGAGACTTTGAAAGGTGGCTGCTGCATTCGTGAGGCCGAAGGGCATGACGGTAAACTCGTACAACCCATTGCGAGTTTTGAATGTAGTTTTGTGCTGGTCTGCAGGGTCGACTTCAATCTGGTGGTAGCCAGACTTGAGATCGATCTTGCTGAAGACCTTGCACCCACCTGCATCATCAAGCAGATCATCAATACGTGGCAAAGGATATGCATTCTTTCTTGTGATTGTATTCAGTCCGCGGAAATCGATACACATCCGTAGTTTGCCTCCTTTCTTCGGGACAAACAAAACCGGTGCACCGAATTCGGATTCGCTTGGCTTCATCCATCCCTTCCCAATCATGTCATCGATCTGCCTTCGCAGTTCCTCCAGTTCGCTTGAGCTCATTCGATAGACACAACCTTTTGGAGGAGTGCTACCATCTATCAACTCGATCTTGTGTCGGACCGGATGCACGGGAACTGCATGTGGCTCGGCCAAGACTTTAGGAAATCGGTTGAAAAGGTTGCGGATTGCTGATGGGACTTTCGGAGGTGGATCATCACTTTCAGGTGCAAGCGTACCGGATTGCATAGGTGCAGTTAAAACAACAGAATTGGAAGTAGAGTCATTTGGACTAGAAGTAGATTTAGCAGAGGTAGTAGTTGCCTCAGAAGTAGAAACGACATGCAAAGTAGAATCATTATGTACAACAAAAATAGAAGGCACATGAGCAGGCCTAACAAAGGCTATATACATTTGCTCATCAACTTTGCGCCTGCGCCACTTTTTGCAGAATTGCATTGCATTGAGAAAAGTTACTTGGGACTCGTGTGGCTCATCCAAGAGGGCTGGACGCTCGATTCCCATGGCATCTTTGACCATGAACTTTGAGTCCTTCGACGTGGTTCTTTCACATTGGGCTTGCAACCAGCCCAAGCCAATAACCGCGTCGAAGGGGCACTGATCAAGGACATAAAAGTTCAGTTCTTGTGTGATTGTGCGGTCTGCGTCAAAGGTAGTGCGCACACCTTTGACTGCATGCGTAGAGGTGACAACCGCTTGGTTGCCCACTTGAGTCCGGCAAGGATTCTGCAAAGTCACTTGCTTCATCCCCAAGCGTGCCTTACGAATGTCGTGCAGTGAGAAGTAGTTGGCGGTTGCACCACAATCAACCAACGCACGGATGTCACGACCATTAATGGAGAGTTTGAAGAAGATCAACTTCATCCTCCCTTGCGTGCGTTCTTGCTTCATATGAGCCCCGCGCGTGAACAAAGCATGAAAGTCAATCTCTTCTGACTCTACCCAAGGCTCTTTATATAGGATGTGTATTTTCTCAGCCTTGGAATTAGTATCAGATGGGGTCTCAGGAGGGGTTTGATGAGTGGGATCAGAATCCAGCGAAGGATCTGCACTTACATGTTCAGCCTCTCCGTTTGTAGAGTGTGTTGATGATGTCTCTACCCCCGTTGCTGGTTTCCCTGCTGCAATCGGAAGCAATGTTGGACTGAATGTCCCGGTTTGGTGCAATGCAGGCAAACTCTTTTCTTCACCCTGTGTTTTCACTCACTTTCACTGATCCGGAGATCTACCCATGGTTTTGTGGCAGGATCTTCTGGTTTGGGTGGAATCTTCGCTCTCTTGGGAAGGAGAATGGTTTTACTATTGTTCTTCACCATGGTCCTCGATCCCTTACTTTTGAAGGCAGTCTTTTTGAAGGCAGTCTTTTTGAAGGCATTCATAGATTCATCATCATTCACACACTCAGACTCATGGGCTGACAAAGAGCAAGATGCCTCGCAACCTTGCTCTTGATCGTTATCAAGAGAAGGATCCTCTGCGAAGGTCTCCTCGTCATCCTCAAGTAGATTGTGCACTGAAAAACGGTTGCTGTCCAGAAACCATTTGCGGCCGGTGGTCTTTTTGCCACACGATCCACCCGGGAGGTCTTGTGCCTCCAATTTGACTAAGTCCCGCATGAGGGTAAGCCAATCTGTATACGCAATGAGCTCGAGCCCTAGGCGATGTGTTATAGTAGAGGGGACCGTGCCTTTTATCACATCCAAGCAAGATTGCGCAGTCATCTCCAGATCCGGAGTAGCAAATAGTTTACTAACATACTGCTGCAAGCTATGCATGGTGCCGGTCCATTTGCTGTGCTTGAGCTTGTCAAGCTTAAGTCTAGCTTTAGCTGTAGCATGTGGATCAACATACTGTTTAATCAAGAGTTCTTCGAGTGTGGCTACAGGCGTAGCCTTCAACCATTTGTTCAGGTCTATTCTTTTATAGCCTGCTTGTACAGCTTGGATTTCCAAGAATCCTCTTACGGGGGGTTCCACATTGGTCCCTAGGACCGACGACTGAGTAACTGGGAGTGTCCCCAGCACATCAAAGTAGGATCGCATGGAGCTGATCCAAGATTCGATGTTGTCCTTTCCATCATACTTAGACGGAATCTGCGCCGCCTTTCTATCCATATAAGGAAAGCTGCAGCTTGGACCAGCGGCTGTTGGGTCCGAACTCGGGACTGCAACAGTTCCAGAATGCCCTGCACTGCCACTTGCCGCTGCTGCAGCAGCAGCAACAACAGCGGGGTCTGGACCTGCTGCAGATCCGGATAGGTTGTTAGTCACACTCAAAGAAGAAGAAGAAGTAAAAGAAGACACATTTAGAGGGGCAAGAACGAAATGACACGCAGCACTAGAAGCAAGGTAAGCATGCGGAAGGACACTTTGGGCAGGCTGCAAGTTAGCAAACTGTTGCAGCTGGTCACGGTGCTGCTGCGCCATCAGGGCCATATCCTCGCGTAACTTCTTGAGTTCGTCGAACACCTTTGCAAATTGGCTTGTATGGTCCTCAGCAGCCCGGACGTCTATCAAAGCCCGGAGGAATGAAACGGTTTTCTCTTCCACCTTCTCGTTAGTTAAGGCGGGCACAGTACTGAAAAAAAGACAGTTTCGTGAGCCTTCACCTTTTCTTCTCTTTCCTTCTCCTTCTCTTCCTCTTCCCTCTTCAGTGCTTTCTCATAGAAGAATCGGTACTGCGCTTTTTCTGCCTCGGGGGCAGCGTCCATTTGCAGCTTCCATTCGGCTGCAGATGCCATAGTGGAGGATGAGGGTGTTAGCAAGTCTCTCAAGAGGGGTCCGTACTTCCTCACACTTTTGGGACGAACACTCCTCTTCCCTCTCCTCACTCCCTCAAGAGCAACTCTCAGAAGCTCCTCTCTTCTCTCTCTCTCTCTCTCTTGTTTGCGATCGTGTAGACGCAGGCATTTAACGAACCAAGTCAAATAAACAGCTTTGAAAACAATCAGAAGAGAAGGTATAACTCCTAGCCTGAGCGACAATTCATTTGGGCTGGAGAGCAGTCTAAACAAAAAAGGAAATAAAGATCAAAGAGATCTGATCCAGCCACATAGTTTGGACCGACTATGTATGAGGTCCTCTCAAGCCTAGCCGGACTCATCTCCGTGCAGACACAACAAATCAGATTCGAAGTGTACAGCGTAATGCAAGAGAGATTTGAGTGGTGTCCAAGGTGCGAGTCAGGCGGCGGATCGTGCGGTAAAGTCTGATAAAACGTCTCAACGGAGATCCCCTCGGCAACGAGTGTCCTGATCCGAAAGCATAAAGTCCGAGTGCCAATCAGATAAAGCAAGGTAACTGACGTCAACAGATTTGGCATGAGGGGCCCTTCTTGTTTGGGCCTGGTCCCACTGAGTCCAAACGGTCCCAGTGGAGTCAGAACCGGGTCCCAACCAACAAGAGTTCCACAAAGACCTACTCTGTCCCTACCGATTTGAAAAATGAAATTTTGCCCCATAAAGAACCTACAGACTACAACCGTTCAGAATGAAATAAACAAAGCGCTCTAGAGAAATATAGCATGGCAAGCAAGATACTCCATTCATTCACTCATCAGGTGAGTAGGCAGTTCACACACCTCACACACAATCAAGACTACGGAGGATGGAAGAAGAACCCAGAAAACCCCAACAGGCAGTCAATTCCATGCACACACACATGGGCACCCTGGCGGCACGACACTTACCTGAGTGGCCAGGCTCTTGAGATGAAAAGAACTCACCCCCCCTCTCACATAGTCCTCCTGACCCAATTAGCATCCTCTACACTAGTGTCCTATCATCTAGGAGGGTCAACATCTACCCCAAAGTACAAAGCCGGATCCCCCGTCGATGTTGAAGATCAAAGCAGCAACTTGCAGTCCGTAGGTGCAGATATGGCTGCCACCCTCAAGCTCGCCTGACTTGAGGGGAGCCCTAAAGTCACTCCTCGTCTTCCTTGAAGTCCAGATTCAAGTTGTAGGTGCCCTTCACTGTCGCCTCTCTCAAGTTGCATCACGAAGTCCCACCTTGTGTCTCGCCACCACAAACATGCACTCAAACAACCTGGCCGGGTCTAGTGTCCACCCTACACGGCCCTGCCAGTTGGGAGCAGCTTCCCTTCACCACGCTGCCCCACTTAATCCTAACTTCCATCCCTAACCCTAAGTGGTTAGCCCTTACCACTAGGGTTAGGGTTATGGTAGCAAAGTCAACTCTCGCCAGTCAGTAGAATCCGCTCCGATACAAATGTTACAATCCTGGCCAATTTCGAAGTATACATTCATCTGAAAGTACAATGCCATCCAATTGCAAAAAGAAATGAATGAACTTGAGAGGAGAGAGAGGGAAAGAAGAAGAAGAAGAAGAAGAAGAAGAAGAAGAAGAAGAAGTAAGAAAGAAGAAGAAGATGATGTACTCCAGCATAGACCAATGACAAGGCTCTTCTTCTTCGCCAACCAATCTCTTCCTCCTTATCTCCTCCCCTTTTATTCAAACAAGAAATAACAATAATAATGTTGAATGACTGAACCAGAATCAATGTCCGAATCCCACTTGTACGGCAGGCACAACATGAGGTCCACCATAGCCATGGCAACCCCTCCTCTTCCTCTACATACAGCCCGAAGCTATGGCGGACTACTGAGGCTTCAGCCTCCTGTCCAAAGGACAACCCAAAGCAGCTATATCGCAGCCCCACTTCAAGGTCGTCACCATGCAGCTATGCCGCTGCCCACTCAACCGCCATGCCTGACTCTGCCCCGAGCTTCCTTGATGCGGCACTACCCCCACTGGGGCCTTCCAGATGCAGCGCCTAACAAGGTGATGAAGATGGTGTCTGCCATAGCCAAGTAAGTACCCCACCACTCTCCTCCTTGGTCCCCTTCTCCCGCCTCCTCCTACCAGTAGAGCTCCACCATAGCCAAGGTGGAAGCTCCCGGCCACAGGTAAGTACCGGCCCTACGGGCCTGCCAAACAAGCAAGTACCCTTACGGGTCACACACACTCTCATGCCGACAAGCACTCAGACAGGCACGCAAGTCAACAGGCACGCACACATACAGACTTAGAAAACACAGCAGAATGCGGGAATCTTGGCAAGGGATCCATTCCATCAGCAGAACTTCAGAAATCACCAGTGTTCTCAGTCTGTGTTATGGTGGGTCATTACACAATAAACAACATCATCCCTTATTAAATTGAGGGAAGACTACAGAGAATTCACACGGCGCATAAGCTCCAACCGTGGTGCTTTAAATGCCACACTTGCGGCCATCTTTACATGGATACGGAGTGCGTGCACCACCCATTGCACACAGCGAAGCCCATCGGGCGCCTTACTAGTGACCCGTTTGACACAACGTAGTGGTGAACGGTGGACCTAGGTCATGAAGGCCCTTGAAGGGTGGGTGTTCATTGACAAAGCCAGTGAGGGAGGGGGGGCGACTCGCTGGATGTGGGAGGGCCAGTGGGATCCCAATCTTGATGCAAAACCCTAAGGACACTGGACCCCACCTAGGACGCTGAAATCCCATCTGGAACAACCGGTGAAACCTTGCCCCTGGGACGGCAACAGGGCAGAAGGAAGGGGGTCAGAAGGAAGGTTGCCCAGGCAATCAGGGGAACGGCGGGTGGTCCCTGGGAGGGGAAAGGGCAAGGGAAAGATTGGGGGTGAGGGCACTCCAAGCCTGGAACAGGGAGGAGATAACCGGTTCTCCCTTCTTCTGAGGGAGAGAGTTAGCAGGGGACAGAGGGAAGCCGTACCCAGCGCACAAAGGAGGGCACAGTCGTGGGACAGAGGGTGTCCGGTCAACGAGTGTCGGGCCTGGTGGAATAGGGAGGGAGAAAGCGCCCGGAAGTGAGGGAGGGGGAACAGGGGGAGAGCAGGTGGTTGGCGTTTCGGGAGCAAGAAGAGAGCAGTTCGAGTTGGGTTTAGGGGCGACCACCTGCTCATGGAAGTGAGGGGACCCTCCTCTTGGGCCTGCAAGGAGGGACACAAGGGGAGCAGGTGGTTTAGAGGGCGGACCGGGTTGAAGGTCGGCAGGGTCACTTCCCAAACCAGAAAGGAGGCCTACGGGGCCTGTAGGAGGGAGGCGGTGGGGAGGTGTTGGCCTAGCAGGAGGAGGAGGGGGCTGGCAGGGTCGATGAGCGCAGGGGGAAGGCAGGGGCCACCTGCGGGGGGCATGAGCTAACTCAGTGCCAGGTGATGGGGAGGGATGCAGGGCGGTGGAATCTAGGTGGCAAGAGGGGAGGGCAGGGGATCAAGGAAGGGTACAAGGGGCTATGTATCCCCCCCAGTCATGACTGTGGAGTCGCTGACCGAGTGTCGTCGGGATTGTGACCGTCGTCCCAACCCCATGCGGTCGAGTGCAACCATGAAACTTACAATATTTTTATTTCCCAGGAAAATAGGCAAAAGAAAAAAAAAACTATGGGGTTGTAGGGTTTGAGAATCCCTACATCCCTGCTTTTGTTGGATTACAACATTTTTTGTTTTTTCTTTTGAAACGGTATTCACCAGTTCGCAGTAGCTGATGCAGATCCCAGGGCTCGATCCCTAGTTCCCCACCTTACCTGTGTGCAGTACCTGTGTCAACCCGTAGAGTTGAACCTGCGACCTGTAGGACCGCCAGTGGTAGGTAGGTCATCGTAGGTTACAGGGTATAGGGGATTCGAACTGTAGACCTGTCGGGTAGGAGTCTAGAGAGTCCAGAGGTCTTAGCTGTAGACTTTCTGAAGGGTCAAAGTCGTAGCCGCTACTCACCTGAAAGGGCAAGGGCCAAGTAGATACTTCTAGAAGTGGCCTTTCGGAGTCAAGCCCACTGTAGGTCAAGGTAAGTGGGCAAGTGGTGGAAGTCCACCGCGCAGAGTCAGCAGTCCCAGTCCAGTCAGTCCGGTCCAGCCAAGCAAGTACCGCCCGAGACTGTGTACACCGTGGGCCAGGGAAACAGGGCAGGCCGACGAGCCACAGAAGTATAAATCAAGAGGCCGCGCACAACCATTCATTGATTCCTGCGGAAGCCATGCGGAAGCGCTGTCTCAGCGGCTTGTGCGAGGAAGTCTGCAGTGTGCCCGAAGTCGAAGTGGGCCAGAGGAGCTTAGCATAGCGATAGCGTAGAGGCAGCCATAGCTGCCATAGCTGTAGCCGGTGTGTGTGTGTTGYGTGAGTGTTCGGAGTGATGCGTGTGGGATATCCAGGGGGATCCGGTGTGTGAACAGTGAGTTGTTGGGCGCTGAGTCGCCATAGGAAGTGGAAGTGAACTCTTACCTGGGTGCCATATCTCTGAGTTCTGTGTGGGCGCATGTCGCCAGTTTGCTGTGCTGCTGTTTACACGCATGAAAAGTGTGAATGAGACGAGTCTGATTGCATTGGTATCGGAGCTGGTACCCGCTATTCCATGCGCGCTGTCGTGTGCAGGCACTAAAGCGCCATAGCAGAGGCGGCCGCCGAGGGGTACAGTCCGCCATAGCGGACCTGAGATTGGAGAAGCCGCCGCGCACCTGCAAGAAGACCACGACGAAGAAGAAGACTGAGTGAGAGAGAGAGAGAGAGAGAGAGAGAGAGAGAGAGAGAGAGAGAGAGAGAGAGAGAGAGAGAGAGAGAGAGAGAGAGA